AACTGCACAGCTTCATGGAAACTGAACAACTGGCTCTTGAATGTTCACTGGATAAACAATGAAATGAAGGCAGAAATAAAGAAGTTCTTCAAAACCAACGAGAATGAAGACACAACATACCAGAATCTCTGGGACACATTTAAAGCAGTCTCTAGAGGAAAATAAATAGCAATAAGTGCCCACCTGAGAAGAGTGGAGAGATCCAAAATTGACACCATTTCATCAAAATTGAAAGAGCTAGAGGAGCAAGATCAAGAAAACTCAAAACCTAGCAGAACACAAGAAATAACTAAGATCAGAGCAGAACTGAAGGAGATAGAGACATAAAAAACCCTTCAAAAAATCAATAAATCCAAGAGCTGGTTTTTTGAAAAGATCAACAAAATACACCAACCACTAGCCAGATTAATAAAAAAGAAAAGAGAGAATAACCAATAGATGCAATAAAAAATGATAAAGGGGAAATCACCACAGATTCCACAGAAATTCAAACCATAATCAGAGACTATTACAAACAACTCTATGCACACAAACTAGTAAACCTGGAAGAAATGGATAAATTCCTGGACACTTGTGTCCTCCCAAGCCTAAACCAGGAGGAAGCCGAAACTATGAATAGACCAATAAAAAGGTCTGAAGTTGAGGCAGCAATTAAGAGCCTACCACACAAAAAAAGCCCAGGTCCAGATGGGTTCACAGCCGAATTCTACCAGACACACAAAGAGGAACTGTTACCATTCCTTCTGAAAGTGTTCCAAATAATTCAAAAAGAGGGAATCCTTCCCAAATTATTTTATGAGACCAACATCATCCTGATACCAAAACCTGGCAGAGACTCAACAAGAAAAGAAAACTTCAGGCCAATATCCATGATGAATATAGATGCAAAAATCTTCAATAAAATACTGGCAAGCTGAAGGCAACAGCACATTAAAAAGCTTATCCACCATGATCAAGTAGGATTCATCCCAGGGATGCAAGTCTGGTTCAACATACACAAGTCTATAAATGTAATTCACCACATAAACAGAACCAAAAAGAAAAACCACATGATTATCTCAATTGACGCAGAGAAGGCCTTTGACAAAATTCAACAGCCCTTTATGCTAAAAACCCTCAATAAACTCGGTATTGATGGAACGTATCACAAAATAATAAAAGCTATTTATGACAAACCAACAGCCAATATCATACTGAATGGGAAAAAACTGGAAGCATTCCCTTTGAAATCTGGCACTACCTGTAATCCCAGCACTTTGGGAGGCCGAGGCAGGTGGATCACGAGGTTGAGTTCGTAGACCATCCTGGTCAACATGGTGAAACCCCATCTCTACTAAAAATACAAAAAAATTAGCTGGGCATGGTGGTGCGTGCCTGTAATCCCAGCTACTCAGGAGGCTGGGGCAGGAGAATTGCTTGAACCCAGGAAGCGGAGGTTGTGGTAGGCCAAGATTGTGCCATTGCACTCCAGCCTGGGTAACTAGAGTGAAACTCTGCCTCAAAAAAAAAAAAAAAAAAAAGAAAGAAAGGAAGAAATCTGTCACTAGACAAGGATGCCCTCTCTCACCACTCCTATTCAATATAGTACTGGAAGTTCTAGCCAGAGCAATCAGGCAAGAAAAAGAAATAAAGGGTATTCAAATAGGAAAGGAGGAAGCCAAATTATCTCTAATAATTTTGCAGACAACATGATAGTATATCTGGAAGACCCCATTGTCTCAGCCCAAAAACTCCTGAAACTGATAAGCAACTTCAGCAAAGTCTCAGGATACAAAATCAATGTGCAAAAATCGCAAGCATTCCTATACACCAATAACAGACTGAAAGAGAGCCAAATCAAGAACTAACTGCTATTCACAATTGCTACAAAGAGAATAAAATACCTAGGAATACAACTTACAAGGAACATAAGGGACCTCTTCAAGGAAAACTACAAAACACTGCTCAACGAAATAAGAGAGGACACAAACAGATGGAAAAACATTCCATGTTTGTGGTTAGAAAGAATCAATATTGTGAAAATGGCCATAGTGCCCAAAGTAATTTACAGAATCAATGCTATCCCCATCAAGCTACCAATGACCTTCTTCACAGAACTAGAAAAAACTACCTTAAATTTTATATGGAACCAAAAGAGAGCCTGCATAGCCAAGTCGATTCTAAGCAAAAAGAACACAGTGGGAGTCATCACACTACCGGATTTCAAACTATACTACAAGGCTACAGTAATCAAAACAGCATGGTACTGGTACCAAAACAGAGATATAGACCAATGGAACAGAACAAAGGCATCGGAGGCAACACAACATATCTACCACCATACAATCTTTGATAAACCTGACAAAAACAAGCAATGGGGAAAGGATTCCCTGTTTAATAAATGGTGTTGGGAAAACTGGCTAGCCATGTGCAGAAAGCAGAAACTGGACCCCTTCCTGACACCTTACACTAAAATTAACTCCAGATGGATTAAAGACTTAAACATAAGACCTGGCACCATAAAAACCCTAGAAGGAAATCTAGGCAAAACTATCCAGGACATAGGAGTAGGCAAGGACTTCATGAACAAAACACCAAAAGCATTGGCAACAAAAGCCAAAATAGACAAGTGGGACCTAATGAAACTCCACAGCTTCTGCATGGCAAAAGAAACAGTAATTAGAGTGAATCGGCAACCAACAGAATGGGAAAAAATTTTTGCAGTTTACCCATCTGACAAAGGGCTGATATCCAGAATTTACCAAGAACTCTAACAGATTTACAAGAAAAAAACAAACAAGCCCATTCAAAAATGGGCAAAGGATATGAACAGACACTTTACAAAAGAAGACATACTGAGGCCTACAAACATATGAAAAAATGCTCATCATCACTGGTCCTTAGAGAAATGCAAATCAAAACTACATTGAGATACCATCTCACATCAGTTAGAATGGCGATCATTAAAAAATCTGAAGACAACAGATGCTGGAGAGGATGTGGAGAAATAGGAACACTTTTACGCTGCTGGTGGAAGTGTAACTTAGTTCAACCATTGTGGAAGACAGTGTGGCAATTTCTCAAGGACCTAGATATAGAAATTCCATTTGACCCAGCAATCCCATTACTGGGTATATATCCAAAGGACTATAAATTGTTCTACTATAAGGACAAATGAACATGAATGTTCACTGCAGCACTGTTTACAATAGCAAAGACCTGGAACCAACCCAAATGCCCATCGATGATAGACTGGACTGGGAAAATGTGGCACATATACACCATGGAATATTATGCAGCCATCAAAAATGATGAGTTCTTGTCCTTTGTAGGGACATGGATGAATCTGGAGAACATCATTCTCGGCAAACTGACACAAGAACAGAAAATGAAATACCGTATGTTCTCACTCATAGGTGGGTGATGAACAATGAGAACACATGGACACAGGGAGGGGAGCACTACACACTGGGGTCTATTGGGGGAAATAGGGGAGGGACATCGGCGGGGGGAACTGGGGAGGGATAGCTTGGGGAGAAATGCCAGATGTGGGTGAAGGGGAGGAAGGCAGCAAATCACACTGCCACATGTGTACCTATGCAACTATCTTACGTGTTCTGCACATGTACCGCAAAACCTAAAATGCAATAAAAAAAGAAAAGACCATAGTAAAAAAATCACAAAGGAATTAATATTTACTGAGGAGTCAATGAGTAGTATGAATTCAAAGGATGGAGAGAACTAAGTTATTTATCTAAAAACGCTTTATGAATAGAGTAGGAACATGACTTCAGTCTGAAGGACAGGTCAAATTGTAATAGGTAGAAAAGAAGAAAATTACTGTAAGTGGGAAAAATTGAGCAGTGGCTAATGGTATGGAAACAAGGCTTAAAAAAATGTCTTTGGGAGCAGCAAACTGATCACTTCTCTGGAGCTAGAGTTTCATGTAAGGGAGCACATCAGTGATTATGATAATAAATAAATATAACTTCTAAATGAAATAAAACCTTCAAAAAACCTTGTTAGGAAATATACAGAATATTTCTGAATGTACTTTTAATCCATCTTGAAGATCTCATACAAAACTCTAATTTCAGCTGAACTTTTAAAAATAAGTATTTTGCAATATAAAAATATTTCTTGGCATTAAGATACTCTGAAATGCCAAGCTCATTGCCAGAGATTTTCCAGCTTAAACCCATGCTTTTTAGATATGTTGTAAAGAGCTTTAGATATCATTTTGTGTTTGCTTTAAACTTTTTTCAAAGAAAAAAATAGAAAAGTATATTCATTGGCCCTGTGTGCTTCTTACACATTATTGTCAGATCTTCATCTGCTAGATGTTTTTAGTATAGAGGTTACCTATCATTCCTTGTTTGCCTATAGCCAGTGAAATTCAGGAATAATTCTTTCTTGTCTTGAAACAAAAATGAAGCTATTTGGACATCAAAGATTAATATGAAAATATTTTCTGATAAACTTAGAACCATTTTTGTTTTATATCAGGTTTTCTAGGTAAATATTTCAACTTTAATTAGACTTTTCAAATGTCCATTATTTTCTTATTTTAAAAAGCAGTGCTACATAAAAACTATTAATGGAAGCTTCAGAGAAGTAGTTACATGAAAGTAACAACCTGAGGTAACTTGCTAATATTTTTGTATATTTTATTGCAATATTCTTGCATTTTTAAAGGTTTTTGTTTTTTACAAATTTTATGTTCTGTTATTTTAACATTAATACATGTACGTTTATTTTTCTAAAATGATGCATAAGTGTATTTCTTAATGGCTAATGTTGCCTTGATATAAAGTAATTTAACCATGTCTCTGTTGGATATTTGGATTGTTTCCTAATTATATATGTCTATTATATGTTCAAATTGGAGAGAGATGTGTTTGCACCAAAGGTAGGTTATATAACCTACTTATGCAATGTGCAAGGGGAAAATGGATGGCAGAAGGATTGTTCCTCTTGTTTGTTTGTACCAGAACTCTTCATTGTTTACATACATCTTAGCCTTGGTACCGTTTTCAGAAGCTTTATTTGTCTCACTTACTTCTTTGGTTTGGATAAGGCTTAAATATAAAATCCATCTGTGAAGCATATTGTATATTCACATTGAAGACTAAAAACCCTTTTTTAATTAAAACTTTATTCCACACTCATGGTTCACTTTGTCCTGTTTTTATTATGAAACACTTCAGTCTTCTTCCTAAAAACACATATGTCTTGAACATTTCAAGATGTTTCTTGTTGCTCGTGCAGAACTAGTTTCGTTATGCTGTCAGCTCACTGCCATATGTTACTGGCTGTTCATTTGCTTCCCTTTCTGGCATCTATGTAGGCAACATCTTGTATGTAATGTAAGTTAGTTTTATTCCCTTCTCCTTTATAAAACTTGTCGGAAGGTAAAATAGCACACTGGAAACTGTGAATGATACTCTGGTAAGTTAGGGTTTTCATGATTCTAAAGGATGTAACCTTTCTTGTATTCTTAATGTTTGTAAGGTATGAAGAGAAAATGTGTCCAGTGACACCTGAATTCTTGACAGATGTGGGTAATTACAGTTAAGGTGCCATAGATATTATTTGCTAATGACACACCTTATAGAAATTGCAGTTCTTTGTATTGATTATTAAACCAAATGTGAAGACGTGGGAAACCTGGAGAGGAAACAAAAAAATCAGATTATCTTTTTTATTTTCAGGAATGCACCGTAGGTTCTCATCTGAAAGTCTCTGCAGGATTGTTTGACTCACACAAGTGGTTTTTGAGATAAGTTGTGTTATACCTCAAGTTAGGTAAAGTCAAGGGATGAACTAACTGAAAAAGTAGTAATGTTTACATCGAATCTAAACTGGAAAAGGCAATAATATTGGCATTAGAAAGTTTGCTTTGCCTTTAAATAATTATTAGTCATAATAGGTTTTAAATTCTTCATAAATAATGTCCTAAAGCAATAAAACCTCCACTATGTGAGCTCTAAGTTCTGAACATCTAAATTTTCAAATAGTTCTGAATTATGCTTAATTTGTTCTTTATTGACTAGAACACTTCCTATTTTATCACGTCTATTTTGACCTTCTGAAACATACTGAATATATATTTTCCAGGTTTATTGAGGTATAGCTGAAAAACAAAAAATTGTATATGTAAGTTGTACAATGTGATGTTTTGGTATGTGAATACATTTGATGATCCTTCCCGTTACGAAGATCACTTATTGTGTTAGCCAGCATTAAATGCAGAACTGTTGAGGTAGAGTAGAGCCATTTATGTCTGCAGTGACTGACTTCATGCTAATATGTCCCAATTTTCTTTTGTTTTTAGAATTTATGTTATGTTTTCACACTTCCTGCTTTTGATGTAGAGTGGGCTTGGGGACCAGGTTACCAATTTTTTATGATTGTATAAAACAAGAATGAAAATATTCTGTGTCAGGACCTTTTGAGTATTGATGTTATATCATCAGTTTTGACTATTATAAGAATTTTTTGTTTGTCTCCTGCTCCATTTAGCTCAATGAACTTGCTGCATTTAAAGAGCATGTTAGTGTAAATGTTAAAAATCTATCTCCCCAAATTCAATTTAACAGGTAAGGATAAAATTACATTGATTTAATGTTCTAATTTTATATACTTTTTATATAAGAGAAACATAAAAACATTGAGACTACATTTAGATTTCTTTATATGATGATTTACTATATCACATACCACCCACCCCGACAGATTAAAATGCATATCTTTAACTATGGTATTATATAATTTATTATACAAAATTTATCATTGTACCAGTACAAATCTTACAGTATATTTTATTTAAGTTCAAGGTGTTTTCTTCCTGAAAAGGAAACTTTTCTTCAATCACAACACAAGTAAAACAGTTAAAATAGAAAGCTTTGTAAATTCTATATAGCCATTTGTAAATGGCTAACAAATTATTATTTCAGTAACACTTGACTTCAATAAATACATACTGAATTACATCTTGTAGGTTAGTACAATGGATAAGTATTTTTGTCTCTCCTTGATCTAAGACATAACAATCCACACCAAACAGACAAGTTTAGTAGGTCACATGTCTTGCATGAGGATGTTTGTTCATGCAAATAACATTACTGAGCACTTACGTACTAGGGACAGTGGTAGGTGCCAAGGATAGGGGATACAGATTCATCTATCCCTGCTCTTGAGGAACTTAGAGTCTTAAAAAGAAAGACACAGGTAGGTGAGTTACATTTCAACATGGAAAATACTATAATAGGTATAAAAAAATTCAGTCATCACCTTTAGAGGCTGAGAAAATTTTTTTTAAAAAGAGAGAAATGAGGAGTGGTGGGTAGGGGAGAGACAAGAATGCTCCGTCCTATTTCAAAGAATAAGAGAAATATATGTCCTCAACTCAATGTTATGAATACTGGAGTTGCAGTCATGAAACATTTTTGAATGCTGTTACTATCCCATCTTGAAAAAACACAAAACATCCAGGCACAGATATCATTAGGTCAAAGGGAGAATTTGATTAATTCTGCTAGAGAAAAGAATGGTCTGGGGAAGATATTACAGACGCTTGAGGTGAACCTTAAAGGATGCATGAGATTTCAGTAGGCAGAGATGTGCAAAAGAATGATGTAGGCCAATGGAACAGCTAGAATAAACATCAAGGAAGGCATGGTAATCAGGATAACACTATCCTGCCACAATTAATTGTTATGCCTCACAGCACAGTAGCTGGTACAGTGTAATATAGTAAGAACCATGGACTTGGCCAAATGAGCTTGGTTTGAGACCTGTCAATACTATGCACCAACTGCATGAGTTGGTGGCAAGGTGCTGAATCATTCTGTGTCTCCATTTCTTTATCTCCGAAAGAGAAAATGATGCCTAACTCCAGGGCACCATGTTGCACCACTGTGGGAGGCATCATTCACATGGTACAGAGGCCCTAGCTATCTCAGGTGGGCTGGGAGGATTAAATGAGGTGACACAAATAAAGTAATTAACAGAGTGGCTGGCATATAGAAAGTGCTTCATAAACATTCACTACTGTGAATCATGCAACTATCATTTTTTTTTAAGAAATGGATTCATTTGAAATCCCTTTTATTTGTAAAGGTTTATGTATCTCTATCCCTGGAAAATAATCTGTGTGTTCTGGAGATTAACTTGAGTAGAATGCAAGATAAATTTTGCTTAATTTACTGGCTTCAAAATTTGTTGTCCGGGAAATATACAAAGACAAAAACATACCAAAGAAAAACAAAACAGCAAATTAAAATCCTGAAATCATTTTGAATGAACATTTTTCTCCAATGATGGTTAATGTTATCCATGCTTTTGGATAGAAGTCCCAAATAATATTTATTTTTATTAATAAAACACCCCTTCTGTGACCATCTGATGTTTCCATAGGGAACATTTTCCAACACAATTTTATGTCCCTGAAATTTAAAACATTTATTTTTTCTTTTCCCTTTATATCCAGAAGCAAGGCTATTTAGAATGGATTAGTTGATTAGAACATCTGACTCAGAAAACGAGACAGCCATGAATTTGGCTGAGGATTCAGAAACACGGATAGAAGACAAAGATTATTACCAGGCTTCAAATATCAGAAAACACTTCAGGGTTGCAGGAAGGAGAAAATAAAGCACATGAAGTGTAATGGCTTTTGCTATAGGGGTCTTTGGGGCAGGTTGGATGGAGTTATTTGCTGAACACATGATAGTCCTTTTGCTACTTGTCCAGCTGAATTGATTGAAGCCTGTTTCCACTCTATCTTGTAAAACAAAAAATAGCCATCAGCTACTCACCAGTATATATGGAAAATGCAGAAGGTTGTGCTTCAGTTAGGGGTCTGTCTTCAGCAATCTAGTCCACATAGCGTGGGATTATAGCAAGTACTACAAATAGGCAAAATCAAAGGAGCTTGCTTAGCCATTTAGACCCCTACAATGATTCTTAAACTGGAGTTTTGATGGCAGGATGTTTTTTAGGGAGTGACCTTGGATCTGTACCAGTGGAAGGGAAGAATTTGGCAGAGGGGATAATTTTAGCTGCAATGCAGGCCTGATGGCAACCTTGGTCAAATCCACAGGGAGCTCTGGAACTAAAATGACCCATTGGAATAAACTCAGGCTGAAATGGCCATGTTTTAATATTTATTATTCATTGGATGTGGACTGCCCCTGGGAGGGTGGAACCTCTTGCAAGGTGGATCTGCAGCTAAAGAAATCCCGGATTATGCTGACAATTGAGGGCTGCTTCCCCACAGAACTGCCAGCAGCTGAGGCAACAGGCCTTTCCTTGAAGGGGAATCTGGTGACACATCACCCTGTCTTTGCCTCCCCAAGTTCCGTTATAACATATATGATCCAAGCCAATATTCAGAAACATGGCTGGACAAAGAGATTCGTCACCCTCTCACTCACCCAGTTTCTCCCACAAAATAAAGTCTCAAGTAGCTCACTGTTCAAAAAATGACTTATTCCACTGGGCATCACCACGATTCCCAACACAAAACCATAGATCTAATACTAGGCCTATGAATAGTTAGTGTTTTTCCCAAGCAGTAATTATAAGGAAGGTGTACACTCCCTAATCTCTTCATCGAGCTCTGATTCATTGATATAAAAACTACTTGGCAATGCCAGTGGGATATCCCATGACACCTCCAAGTCAATGAGCTAAAATCTGAACTCATCATTTCTTCTTCTCTCAAGACCAAACCTGCTTTCCATATCTCAATACGTTCACAATTCATTCATAAAACTGCATACCTATTACTATTATCTATACCTGAACTCTTTAGATCTATACCTACTCTTTAGATCCAAAGCCTGGGAATTATTCTTAATTCTCTCCATCCCCCCAGAGTCAGTAAGTCCTGTAGATTTAACTTCACTAATGACTTCTAGCAGCCTTCTTCACTGCTACTGCCCTAATTCAGGCCCTCATTCAAAGGAGGTTATCTTTTTGTAGTTGTCCTAACTTTTAAAAGTTAAAATAGTATATTGTTGCAAATAGCGTAGTACAGCTTATGATATTCTCTCGTCTTACACCTACCTGCAGTTAGCCATGGACGACCTTCTGTGAATGGTCGCCTAGGTGTTTTGGTGGATTCCTCCACAACTCGAGGTATTATGCATATAAAATACCTTTATCCCAACTTCACAAGCCAAGACCAATCTCTACTCTGAAAGATGAAAATTTAACATTGACTACTTTTCTTCTCTTCTCTCAGTGTTTAACATTTATGCTATTATTAGTTATTTTATTAATTGTAATTTTCGGTGATAGACTTAAACCTCTATTTCTTGCTCCATCTACTTTCAACAATCTGTTGACTACTTCGTAAGAAGACAGATACTAACACGTGTATCTTTGCCCTCTCAGTCCCATCTTCTGTCAACTACATGTTTATGTTGTCAAAGTCGTAACATTTACATTCTGTTTTCTAGCCAAATTAATCTTCTGTGCTCTTCCTTCCATATTTTTTTGGTTCTACAATGTACATTTTGCTGTGTTTACTTTAGTATGATATTAATATATCAATCCTTTTTAAAACAGTGGTGAAATGTACATAGCATATTTATAATTTTAACCATTTGTGAGTGTGTAACTGAGTGACATGAAATTCATTCATAATGCTGTATACCTATCACTATTATCTATACTCAAACTTTTTCATCATCCTCAATATAAACTCTGTGCCCACTCAACAATTTCTCCCCCTTGCCTACTCTTCCTTTGCCGTCTATTCTACTTTCTCTCTCTCTGAATTTGCCTATTCTGGGGACCTCATGTAAGTGAATCATTCAATATTTGTAAACAAACTTTTATTTGAGGTGGAAGGATACCTGTGCAGGTTTGTTACACAGGTAAAATGGTGTCACGGGTGTTTACTATACAGATAATTTTATCATGTAGGTTTTTTCTGATCCTCTCCCTCCTCCCACTCTCTGCTCTCAAGTAGGCCCAGTGTCTGTTGTTCCCCTCTTTGTGTCCATGAGATCTCATCATTTAGCTTTCCTTTTCGATGGCTGAAGAGTACTCTATGTGTATGTATAAGATTTTGTTTATCTCTTTATATATTGACAGATTTTTCCTTTCTTTTTTTCCAGTGATACTACAACCACCTCAAAAATTGCCATCCCTTAGCAATCTCTGACTCTGTCATTTATTCTCTTTCTGTTGCTGGAATGATCTTTCTAAAGATAAGATGATCTCTGGATATATTAGTTACTCTTACTCTCCCTGACTTTGTCCCATTCTTGGCTATACCATGGCACCCAACTTATAGTGGCATCTAGTGTCCTTAGGCTCACCTCTGCCTCTTCTCCAATCTCATCTGTGTTACACTCTCACATACCAGGTGCTTCAGCCACACAAGGTACCTCACTTTACCTTAAAGATGCCATGGCCTTTTACCTGCTTGTTTTGCTTTGTGCTGTCTCTTCCGTCTAGAATATAATCATTTTTTCTCTATACACAGAAACCTCTACAATCCAAGTAGAGTTAAATGTCTAAATCTAAGTTAAGCATCGTTTTCCATGAAGCCTTCCCCAGTTCCACCAGGTACTTTGTTGCTCCTTTCTCTTTTTTTCCAAAGTATTTTGTTCCCTCCTAGAATTTCAGTGCTTAACTGTTCTGCAATAATTTGCTGACTTGCCTGCCTTCTTTATTCGACTGACCTCTGCTTAGACTACAGCTGTTTTCCGTATTTATGTCATGAGCCCGGAAGCTGGTAGCATTCATGAAGAACGCTGCATAAGTGAGTAGTACAATGGGGATAGGGCTGAATGTGGAGTCAGAAATTTGGGCTTAAGGACCAGTTTAGCCATATCACCTCACCTCTCTGAGTTTGTTTCTTCATTTGGAATGATTTATCATCCTAGACTGGTGTTGAGAACTAAATGAGACAGCTAATGTGGGAATCCTCTTTATAAAGTAATTGCGAGGACGTAAAACATTATCAGTCTTATTAGTCTTCATTTACTTCTCATCCCTGATAAATTTATTCTATAGGGAGTTCCCAGTTTGTGAATCGTTCCTTTAAGAGAAGAAATCATAAATAGTGGAAATGTGATTTGGGAATACATGACTTGAGTTATTTTCATATTGTATGGTTTGTTTGTATAAGTGGTTAGAAATTTCAGGGATGCAGAATTTAACCAGTAAAAGGAAGAACTTTTCTAATTGGCAGTGTGGTCCAGTAATGAATGCTCTCAGGAGGTCATCATTGCTCCATCTCTGGACCACCCTGCCAATCAATAAGTTCTAATAGAGGACTAGCTAAGCTTACCTGTCAGGGAAACTGTTCAGAGAAATTCTGACCTGAAGAGGGAAGAGAGCTGCACTGGCTGACTCTGAGATTCCTTCTCATTCTGAATGTATATAATCCTAAAATTTACATACAAACTGTACTGAGAGATAGACCAATGGTTTTCTATTCAGGAGATAAAGGTATAAAGATTGGGTTTTTTTTTTCCTCTTTAATTGAGAGTTGTAGATTTTATGTAAGACCACATAAAAAGTCTGATATTTCTACTTTGTGAGTCTGGCTGAAGCTGAAATTTGATTTTGAAATATGAAAGTAAACTGTAACTACCTTAATTTAAGTCCGTAGGATTTCCGTTTATATATAACCTTTAAAGTTCTCCCAAATTTTCACCCTGGAGAAAAGAAGAAATTACAGCAATTTTACTTAAGGCTATAAGTCTAGAGAGACACTAGTTTTAGGTTAATGGAAAACTGACACTGCTTTGCTTGGGCTTCTAGCAGTTTCTATCCCTCTGACTGATGTGAACTCTCACACCCAAGGGCATGGTTACCAGTCTCACATGTTAAATTGAGTGCTTTTGTGGTTGAAACTCAGTAACAAAAACACTTTAGAAAACATTTTGTTCATGACATTTTTAAGAGTGCTATTGTTTTCAAAACACAGTTTTTTCACAGTTCAAAGCTGCTTCTTAATGTTACTATTGCTCACAGTAAACCCATTTCAATTCTCTGAAAACCACTTTGCAGTGTTTTCCTATCTGTGCAGTTGCCTCTCAAGCTGACGTATGATTTTCCCTGTACACCCTCCACTACCACCAGCCAACCCACCCACGGCCTGCCCCAAGGAGACAAATGTGGGATCAAATCAGAAGCACACAGTGTTAACATGAGAAGCATCCTTAGATTTCATCTAATCTAATTCAAGCCTTTGCACCTCCCCTCTTTTAAGGAAGAAGCAACTGAGGAATGGCTGGGGAGGCTCAGAAAGCAAGTAATGACAAAATTAAGACAGGATACAAATCCTTTACCCCCTCATCTAGTACTTTTAATCACTGTCCCATGCACCAAGTGGAGGTGGGTTGGGGTAGGGGACCTGAAAAGTTCCAGAGAGGTGGTTACACCTTTCACTGTGGTGACTGACAACTGATCCAATGGACAGGCAGTTTCCTTTTAAGTGACTTGGTGGAAGGCCTGACATCATCTTGCAATTGAATGGGGGGCTAGAAATCCTGCTGAAACATACATACACACACATATATATGTATACACACACACACACACACACACACACACACACATATGTATATCTCCAGGTGACATATGTACATATTGGCAGGTAGAGATGGAGAGATCGACCTGAGAACAAGGCCCTGCTGGAACAGGAGAGCATGGTAAAGATGAGAGGTTTGGAAAAGAGCCACAGGAGCATTAGTCAATGAGGCTGAGGGCCCACATTAGAAACTGGAACAACTGAGACACGAATGGTGAATGCTACCCTCTGAGATTCCTCTAATACATTTAGGACATTCTGAATGTGGCGGGGGTTATTGCAACTTGGAAGCAAAAAAGGCTGCTTTGCTTTTTAATTTTCAGAGGCTGTCCTGGAGCTCACATTTGGGTGTTGACCGGCCTTTCTGAAAAGGAAATGATACTTGCCTACCTACCTCTAAGAGTGGTAGGAATTTAATGGGACCTCACTCCTGGCAGGGCTTTGCAACTCCAAAATCTGTACAGATTGTACAGATATTGTGTGTTATTCTTTCTCTTGATTGTGGCTAAAAACTAAGGAATCAAGAGCCAAAATATGATGGAGTAAATCTAACATGCATTCATTCACTGGTTCATTGGACATTTATAAAAAGCTTACTAAATGTCTTAAAACAATGCAACCCCACCACGCCTACTTTCAAAGAGCACCAGTCTATGGTAAAGACGAGATGAAAATAATTACAATAGTTACACGAAACTTGCTATGGTAGAAACATAGGGGCCTGTGGAGGCTCAGAGGAAGGACACAAAACTAACTTGGTTGAGTGGAGGAGACATCATGAAAAGTTATTAGGAAATGATTCCTGAGGTGAGTAAGAGATGGGCAATAGCGGTAAAAGGTCAGGGGTAGGTGGTCCAGGCAAAGGGAGCCACATGAACAGTGGCATGGGATAGGGGAAGTAGGGCTGAATGAGAGGACCTTGGAAACCCCTTCAAATGGTGTGACAGACACATTAATGAAGATGTAAATGTGTGTGTGACTTGTCTGCTCTCAGTACACCTGCCCAGGGGCTTGGAGATAATATAGATCTCAAAAGGCCCTTTTTCCTCCAGCCTCTCTTATGTCATTCCTGGCTTTCATTTTGAAGGGCCTGGATAATTGTTGCTGACTCCTTGCATGGCCTTAAGCAAGTCCCATCCCTTCTGGAAGGCTCCAGTGTCTGTTTCTGTGAAATGTGGGGATCTGATTGGCTTGTCCCTTCTAGCACTGACCCTGGCCTGTGAGCTTCCTGCACTGCAGAGATTCACTGATTGCCTCTGACTCTTCCCCACACTCTGGGAATGGAACTTGGGTCTCCTGACTTTCAGCTTAGGGTTCTTTTCTTTCCATCACATTGCCTGTGTTACTGCATCATAAGAGTTAAAGGAGACACATCCTTGTCTTCAGAGAACTGAGTCTGGCTGAGAGGTAGGAAGGCACCAAAGCTTGAAATACCACGGTACCCCTAGTGCCTGGAACAGAGCGTGCTCCATGACATTATTTATAATGTTTAGTGGCAAAATGAGAGAAATCTTGGTTATAAAACCTCAAAACTGGAGATAACCTCAGAGATCTCTTTGTATGGGTCATTCCCTCTGCCCAAAATACTTCCCTTGAGCACCCACCTCATGTGGCCAGCAGCAGGGCTAAGACCTGTTACTAGACAGGAGAGCTTCTCTCCTTGTGGATCAGACCTCATGGTGTAAATCCTCTAGACTGTACCCTTTTCCCACTCCACGAAGCCCAACTTCAAAGGCTGATTTCTTGTTAAAAGACTGTCTTAGTTTGGTTTCCTAGAAGCAGCACATGAGACCAGGTGCCAGTGGTTTATTTGGGAGGAGATCCCAGGAAACACCACCAAAGAAATGGGGAAATGAGACAGGGAAGGGAAGGGAGCGATGCAGGGTGTATTAATGGACATATAAATGCGGTGGGGAGCTCAGGCTCAACCCTTATCCTCAAACTCTTTCATAACTGGTTCAGGGCTGCTCCCAGGTGTGTTAACTCCCAGCACTTCTAGCTCGTTGTATGCAGGGGACCCAAAATTTTTCTATGGTCAGAAAAGCCCTCAGCAGAGAGATGAAGGGGTTTTCATCAGGAAGCCACAGCAAACAGGACTGCTGAGACCTGGAGGATGTGGGCAAGGACACTGATGGCCTCTGCCCCAGTGGACCAATGCCCATTCTCTTCAGTTCCTGGTCAGTAACTTCACAGCTCTGCCTCAGAGGCCGGAGGCTAAATACAGACAGGATTTATCAGGGGAAATTAAATATGTAGGGTTGATATTAGCAAATGAATAAATAGTATCCCTATTTTATGGGAATCCGTTGTGCACTTTTGTACCTTAACACTTACACATGCTGCCTCACTACCTTGTATGACTTTTTAAAGAAAACTCCCATTCATTCATCCTTCAAAGTGTAGCTCCGTTATTCACTTTCCTGTTATGCTCTTTCCTGATGTCCTGGTAGACCTCATTCCTCCCTGCTCCTGTTTCTCTGACAGCATTGTGTGCCCGATCTAAAATAACACGGCTATGTAGTGTCATGCCTCCTTTTGTGTTCATCTTGCCTGCTGCTAATAGTAGTAAGAATGTTGCGGGGCATTCTTTAGTTCAGCTAAGAGTCAGGTTCTTATCATGTCGCCACGAAAAACTAGGCTCACAGACAATTCGAAGGGTGAGAATAATGAGATTTATTGGGCAAAAAGGAAAAAAGGGGGAACGGGAACTCTTTGCAAGGCCAGAGTTCCTGCTAGTGTAGGCTTTCGGCCTCACAGACTGAATTCCAGTTTCCACCCAGGAAGAGGATGGGCCAGGCTCCTCCCTGATGCAAACTGCACAAACTTCTGTGGCTTCATCCCCGTGTGCACTCCTCTCAATGCATAGGCCGGCTGGAGTTTTGCCAGAGAGCCCTTTCCACCTGGCTGTCTCAATAATAGCTAACATTTGTTATGTACTTTAGTTATGTGGCAGGCACTATTTTAAATACTTTATTTGAATTAACTAATTTAATCCTCTCATCAACCCAGTGAAGTAGCTGCCGTTACTGCATCCATTTTGTGGATGAGGAAAGATAGAGAAGTTAAGCAACTTTTCCAATATCATGTCATCAGGAAAAGACAGGAAGAGGATTTGGTTCCAGAAGATCAGTCTTCCAATCACATGCAGTCTTCTTAACCACTGCACATAATAACCTCTCTTTGGCTGTAGTACAGGAGGGGGCACAAGGACAAAACCCTGGGGTATAGTTCTAGCAATTTTCATAGAATCTCATGCCAAGCTGGAAAACAGCATCTGTGGAGAATCTTAAATAAACAGAACAATACTTGCCTTTTGGAAAAATCATTCTTGCAAGAATGATTTGCAAGAAGAGAGACTGGGAAGAGAGGTAAGAGTCAAGGGGCTGTAGAAATGATCCAGGTAAGAGATGAAGTCCCAAGTTTAGCATGGAACCTCCTTCCTGAGCTGTCACCTGCTTACCTCCCAGTCACTGCACCACCGATTCCCCAACATGCAGCCCTACCACTCGTGGATGTGCAGGTGGTACCTGCACAAATACACCTGGCCAGTAGGGGCATGTGGGAGCTGAAATGAGCCTGGGCTCTGGCTGCCACCTGTCACCCTATAGTAAGGATCTGTATCTGTCAAGAAGAAAGGTATCTTTTGCTCACTTTCACAATGAAGCGTAAGAACTAGCAGTAGTCCTGCCCACGTGTATCTTCCACTCCAGATATTCAAAACTATTTTTGTTCCTAGTTATGTCATGATTTTTCCCACCTATGTGTTTTAAATTTTGGTTTCCTCTGTTAGGGGTACCCTTTCACTCACTCATTTCATTCACGTATTCTTTCACTTATTCATATAACACAGAACTTTGTACCCACCATGTGCCATGTACCTATCTAGGTGAAGGAGAATTAGTGGTGAGCTCACAATCTAGGGGAACAGATGCTATTAATGACATAATCATGCAAATATAGCAGCATACACTGACATATGTTTTGAGGGCAAAGTTGAGAGACTGTATCTTGGGTGTTAAGGGCTCATTTTTGGGATGTAGGTGTCTGGGCTAAGATCATGACCAGAACTACATGGCTTTACTTAAGATGTGACTTTTGAACTGAGATGTGAAGAACAAGTAG